GAGTCCAAGCTAAAGGATAGTTCAGATCTACACATAGGTACTTCACTGATGTAGCGGAGTGCAATCCATCGCGATCAATGAGTAGCTTGGGGCACTGTGTAAGTGACTGCTCCTACCTGGCACCTCTGTGTAGCGAAAGTAGAATAACATGTTGAAGCGATAAGAGTCAGAAGACGAGATTTAAACCAAACATTGTGGTCATTCAGAAGATGTTGCAATCTGAGTGAGGAATCGGTGGCTCGTTGATTGGTCCCCAGGGCGATGACATCAGCGTTTATTAGTAGGTTCACTTCTGCGGGGGTTGGTATTGAGCTGACAGAAATAAACAAAGCAATGGCGACAAAATTGCTGCCTGAGTGTTGAATACTGCCTCTTGAATACGTCAGGTTCTAACAATGTAATACCAAGACTCCTAGACGGATGAACGAACGAGACTCAGAATTAGTTCTCGCACGGACGGAAACTGACAATCTTGAAGTCTGTGGGTTCTCGGAACTTAGCCGCGAAAAATTAATTCACGCGAGTCGAACGGGTTCCTAGACCGAAGACAAAGTTCTACGAACGATTTCCCAACCCAAGACTGAAGCAAGAACAAGACAGACCTTTGCCACAGGCGCTTTTACTGGCCAAAGCTAAGGTGATTCTAGCGTTCTACAGCCTCATTTTTCTATCACGAAACGGTGATGAAGGGGTTTTTTTCCTTGGAAGGGTTTGCGTAAGCAAACCCTGGAAACAAGAAACATGGTTGTATGTAAATGTGCAAAGTCCGTAAACTGAGCAGAAATGTTGGAAGTTTGGCGAGAGTTGCCCGGAAAAATGAATGTTGCTTGGATACAACAATGCGTGTTTGCTTTGAAACAAAACTGTTTCTGGGTGCAAAGGCTAAGCAATGTGAATGTTACACGAGTTGGAAGGCTGATTGAACGTGTGCGTTTTGTCTGGTCTGAGTACTTGTGCACTTGAGTGAATCGGGTCTTCAGCCTTCCGTAATTTAAGCCTTTAATAATTATAGGGACGTTGGGTCCCCATAGCACTGAGAAAAGGAGTCGGTGATTAGTGGGGAGGATCATGCACCACTAAGTCGGTTTATCTGAGTGGGTCTAGCAAACTAGTCAGTAAATGGAGGATCTATGCATGTATGCTATAAATGAGTGGATCATTTCGCAGCAACGCACGATCTACACAATCCAATGTTTTTACCATAATCACTAAAACACATATCAGTTGATTTATTTCTGTTGTCAATTAATGACAGCGCAGTATAAATGAGGCAGACCACTGCATCTAGCGTAGACTTTGAACTACAATAAGCAAATTGAATGGGGTCATTCGAACGAGTGTGGTGCAGGATCATTCCAATAATGACTTTCACCAGAACCTACAAAGCAACAGAAATGCAAGCGATAATTTGATAAGCGTGGCACTGGTGTAATACTGACCCTTTTCCAACTGTCATTGCTTTTGGGTTGCTGCATGCAGGTTGCGTATATGGACGCAAGTAGCGTTACCAAAATATCACCACATACTTTGAGTACGATGGGAGATAGTTTGTCCAGACCAAAAGCTTTACAGGAACATAGACGCCTCTGTAAATTATTCCCAGTTATACCGTCAACAAGAGTCAACATGTCTACAGACACAAAAATTGGTAACAGCCAAGTTCTGTGGGTATAGTAGTATTACAAGTACAGTCCTCCTGGTTTAATTTTCCTACATTCTCATCGTAATAGGGAGCACGTCAAATAACTGCTAAACTGTTTCAGCATCCGTCAGAGTTCGTGACAGCTACCGTCCCCAAGAATAGACTAGATATATACTTGGTTAAAACGATGCGGCCCTTAATTGATACCACCAGATTCTGAAGAACCCAAACCACATTTGCCGTCCGCTGCTGGAATTGAACCACAACACTATACTAAGAGGTCACCCTCGGAAAATGACAATTCATTATAGCCGGCTTGAATGCCGTAGAAATTGCTTTTCTCTCCGCGTGTGCCAGCCTTGGAACGCCCTCCCTAATTATGTCGTCTCTGCTCCCAATCTGGCGATGTTTAAAAAACGTGTTGACGATGCCTTGTCTCACTTACATTTCATTTTATGACTTGTTAGCCAGGGGCTACAAAACGCAACCAAACGGTTTCTTGCCAAACGCCTAACCAATGGATTTATGGATTTATACGTTTGATATGCGAACATCTCCGCTATTCCACATAACTCTATGGTGAGTCCACCACAACGCTTTTCACTTTATTATGCAATTGATTTTCGCGATAATTTCCATCCCACGGGACTTGTTAAGCGATGGTTTTTTTACCCGTAATAAACCATTGTCCATTGTCCATTGACCAGTAAGAGACCTCGCGAAGGTGCCATCTTTTGCTCTAAAGGCTCTCGCGCTAAGTCGGCGCAATTGCCATATGACAACGAAGAGAATCTGTTAGGGCGGACATAAAGAGTTTTTCAAGGTCAGCAGGTCAAAGAGAAAGTTAGATATTTGTTAAATGGTTAAAACACTTGGATACTTCTGTGTCGGTATAAGTTAGATCCCGCAGATTCAGCCATTCACAAAGTCAATCCTTTTTTGTGTATAGCCCTGGTTATAACTGAAACCTTAGTCATTGCAGCCAGCGATAACTTGGTGGTTTTAACTTGCTTTAGATGACAGGAGAAAGCTTGATTGTTGAGTGATCAGAACTGCCAATCACAGCTCCACTACCTATAGAGAACCACTATAATTGATGACAAGTTGCGGTCCAACATAAGTATCTTCCCTACTATATCTGTAAGCGAAAATATCACGACCAACCTATCCACCGTCAAGTACCTCAGTGTCCCTTTGTTCCAACACGGATTTGGTCCACGCAATATCATGAAATATTTCATAAAGTTAGAAGTTTGACTATTTGTGTTCTCAAGACGGACTTTCGATACTCGGGCTATTAATTTTTAACTATCTCAATTCAGTCATTCTGTCACGTTGGTTACCTATCTATCCGGAATATCTAAGAATGATTGATGCTTGTTGGTGGGATCTGTGAGTCGCGCTTGTAGATGCAGTGATATATTCAGAAGTTCTCTCGTTACATTTATTGCCATATGACAGGTCGAAGTCTGCGACAAAGTTTTCCTTAAAGGGCAACTTTCGTGCGCTACGCGATGACTTCCGAAAGCCGTAGATTTTTACACATACAACAGTTAAATTGTTACGTTCTCCTACTTCGTTTTATCTCAACACCGTTTCAATTTGTCTGTCCTACCTACTTATCGGCCCTACGAAAATTACTACTGCCCGGGACTGTTGATTGTTGGAGTGACAACAGAATATATGTTTCATCCTACGCTTGCTGTTTACCAGAAAACGTGCCATTTCCGTATTTTACAATATTAGATTTTATTAGTTTGTGAACCTTCCAAAAGTCTATTTGCTTTACCGACTTTACACCCGCTTTCATACATTGCTTTGGTGAGTCCTGCGCAACACGTTCCTTGCATTTGCTGATTCGCTTCCCATTCCTTGTAGCCTATATAAATATATTATAATATATATATATATACATATATATATAATATTATAGCGCGTGGACCGTGCGCTATATATCCGGTACGCGACTAAACAGTCAACCAAAAGTAGTGGGTAGAAGACACAAAAGTAAACTAGGGAAGAAGTTTATTGGACGGGAGGAGCGTTAGCTAATGCTAAAAATAGGGCACCCGGAGAGAGCTGGCTAGGGAGAATGTCTTTGGCGTCGAGAGCGTAGACGGAGCGTCGTTAGCAGTCGAGCCGCGCGCCAAAGGCGGAGATCGTTTTCGTGTTTCCAACAAACGGGAACAACGTGCCAACTGGCAAACCGAATGGTTCCCTAATACATAAGAAAGCTATAGTTTGAATATTTTAGAATAGTTTACACAGTCATACGGGGGAATCTCCAGGTCGCTACACAGCCCCCCTCCTGGAAGGGAAACCATGGGTGACCCTTCGATCTACGTGAGGACTGTACGTCGCGGGCCAGCCTTCTGCGAGACCAGGTAGTGAAACCTGATGCAGCTGCTGGGGGAGAACCAGGCGATCGGACAGTAGCGGGCTCCGACCCGTGTCCTCCCTAACGGTGCCAAAAACACAAAATGGGGGAAGTTCGTAAGCGTTAAATGTTTGCCAGTTCGTGAAAGTCAAATGTTCGCTTCAGACTCGGCATCTCCTCCGGTTCATACATGGAAGATAAACAGAAACAAGGGTAGTAACGGTGAAGGCGAAGGCAAAAATAAGAGTGACACTTACCGGATGAGGTAGGCGTCAGCCAAAACGCAGCTCTTTTTGTGTTTTCAAAACGTTTTGTTCTTTTTTGGGTTTTCAAAATATTTTGCGTTCTTTTTGGCTTTTCAAAGAAACTATTGTCGGTTTTTTTGTCGTTTTCAAAAGCTTTGGAGGGGTTCGTATATATATATATATATATATATATATATATATAATTCAACTAATTCATCGTCGTCACTTCTAATCAGCAGGCTCAGTCTGGTGTGGAAAAGCACCAGACGTCGGCATTCGGACCTTCTGGGTCTCGTCAGTGGAGTGCCTTCTAGAGGACCCCTGCCTGGTTCCATCCCCAAGCTTCAGGATGCCAGCAGCTAGTGCCACTTCGCCATAGGTGGCGGCCGCGGACATGCGTGATTGACAGTTGACTATGACATAGCCCGGCTCATCTTCCATTGACATGCTAGTTACTTTCTGTGCAGTGGACAGCCCTCTGCAATCATTCGGGTGCATAAAGCTTATTTTATATTCAATTGATTTGTTGTACTTAGACCACCCTTCATGAAAACAGTAGACTGTGGAAGTTTCAGTTTGAGCGGAAGCCTTGTGGCTCCAGTTCCCTCCACTGTCCAATCTAGTCTCATCAAGATAGTTGCGCGTGAAATCTATAATCTGGGCCAACAGCTGATTTGCAAATTACTGACGGACAGGCGCGTTTCTTTCGGCGATAAAATCGTTACCTGAAGTAAATCGCAGCCAATGCGCACGACGGTTTCCACCATTGACCTTGGGCTATACACATGATTGGATGGGTATGCCAAAAGCAATGACAGAAGTCGATCAATTGTCCGCGCAACAAAATTAGGACATGGAGAGAACCAGAGACCAAAGGTCGGACTTTTGACTCCACTTGTTATTCCCGGTAAGTTTTTGGTGGTACAAGTAAAATCTTGTGGTTTCGGTAATCTTGAGCAATAAAATATATTCCGCGTTAGTTTTAAAAACAGCTACACAACGTATAAATTGTTGAAATAATACACTATACCTTAAATAGACTAGCTTGTAAGAAATGAGCGCTCTACATCCATCAATCAATCAAACTTGCATTCACAAATAAAGTCCATCACGCTGCTTCAGGATTACTCCGTTACCTGTGAATATTTCCATAGACTATGTTACTATCTCCAAACAAATTTATGTTCTAACGGCAAGATCGAAATTGTATTATTTTACAATACCAATTCCTGGTGATGGGAAGATGTTTGTATGTTAAGTGGACGTATCAAAGGAACCAAAAAAGGATCAAGGCATCTGTCAGCGGGATAAATGAGATATGTCTAAGGTTTAAAAATGTGATTACGTTGGAATAAACAGGTCGGGCCAAACCTTTACTAGCTATGAATCCACATGCTTTGGCATGTTACGTGTGAGTCTAGTGAGCATACCAAATATTTTCAAGCGAGGTACCGTGCTGCTCTGTTTAGGGGCATCAGCTCAGAAATTTATTAGTGCTTTCATAGGAGACCATTTTATAGTCACTCTCCTGCGTTACTAGCTACATCCTGGTAAACCAGGAAGCACATGTTTTTGAAACAGTCTTTCACTGCAGTCTAATCGCAACTGCCTCAGAAAGGAGGAAATTTCGCTCCACCAATCCCTTGCTTTTTCTCAGAAGTAGAACATGCGAACGCATGTTAATAAGGAATGCAGCTTGACACACTTACAGATCTCGTCCTCGTCCCGAAACCTGGAACGATTACGTGACCCAACGCAATAACTGTAACATGCTTGTTGGTGAGGACAAATTGACACAACAACAACGTCGTCTGATAAATTTGCCATCAATAACTAGCTCCTGTACCAACGTGTTAACACCATCCGGAAAGTGAAGCTCGGTATCCACCCACTTAACACACCAGTCGGAGTGGCACAGAGTGCCGAAGAGGCAGTCAACACCCAAAGAATGCAGTACGTCCTAACATTCCAATGAGACACCCACCACTGTTAAATAACTACATCTCTAACCCCAATTTCGGCACTTACTAACATCGCTTTTACTGCCAAATCTGTGTTGAAGAAAATGCTCTCACTACGTACGTACCAGTTGTCCGGAATCGCTGATCTCCGCCGGACATCGCTGAAAGTAGCAGCGACAACAGTGGCCGGACTATTATCGCATTTCCGCACAACGTGCTTGGATAAGCAACTTGTGCCTGCAATGTGGAAACATGGTTTAATGATTCCAATTTTCAAAAGCGATAATCGCTCGGAACCCGCCAACTATTGCCCAGTGGTCCTCCTCTCTGTGTTCTCAAAGGTGTTGGCGATAATCATCGCTGAACCTTTAGTAGACCATCTAAAACGCAACAACATCATGGCACCTGAAACAACACAGGTTCCACTAACACTGTTCATGCGCTACCAACCTGCTGATTGCGCGCAGTAGTTGGACGGAAGCGGTCAATGAAGGCAGAGGGACAGATGTCATTTACCTCCACTTCTCCAAAGCCTTCGACATACTGGACCACGGCATTCTGCTTCACAGTCATGAAAGCTATGGATTTAAGGATTCGGTTCTTGGGTAGATCCGGAATTTCCTACAGTGTCAGCAACTACAGGTCAAAGTTCGAAGTGTGCTGTCCGATCCGATTTATGTCGAGTGCGGTGTTCCTCAAGCTTTAGTTCTGGGGCCACCTCTGTTGCTCATGTTCATTAATGAGCTTAGCCATTTGATTGCCACAAATTTCGTACTGTTGCTGATGACGGTAAGGCGTGGCGGACGACCGTCGGCCCAGGAGATCACGATTCACTTCAGCGAGACCTGGGAAGGGTGTATGAATGGTCACTCCCCAATCTGCTCCAGTTCAATTCGAGGAACTGTAAAGGGGTTCACATTCGCCACCAGCTGAAAACCCCTTACAAGCTTCGAGACTATGTACTGCTGGCAGTCGTCAAGAGTGCTAATCTAGGCTGCCCTGGGCTGTTCAGAATAACCTGAGAACGCGTCAAAGGCTGGGAACCAACACGTTGGCAGGTTGTATAGGGCATTTGGGCTGTTTGATCCCTCTGTCCGTTCGCAGTTCCTTAACACATACGTGCGAGTTCATGTGGAATACGCAACGAATATGCAACGAGGCCCTGGCACAAGCAAGACCTTGCGGCGCTCGGAACTCCACAGTGCCGAGCCAAGAAGTACGTTAAAGAATCGTTCCATTTTCCTTATCAACTTAGGATGAGGACCCTAAAGTTATACACCGGCCGTTATCGGTGCCTACGTGGCGACCTTATTATGGTCCGCCAGATTCCAATGAACCCTAACTCGTCTGCCGCCATCTACTACAACCTAGCCACAAAAGAACTTTGAGGGACCACCAGTTCACGTTAGCCCCGCAATATATTCGACTAGAATGTCGACGGAGCTGGTACTCTCTTCGTGTGTGTCAGCCATGGAACGCCGTCCAAAATTACCTTGCTTCCTCCCCCACTATACCTGTGTTTAAAAACGCGTTTAGGTTGTCCTAACCCACTTACATCACTAGATATAGCCCGCGTGCCTCGACAGACCGTATAGTGGTGAGAAACTCACATAACCAGAACTGACCTACACTACTGTGGTTGGCTCTTCTTGCGTTCGTCTATGTGAACACTATGGGGAGTCCACCAAAAAGATTTTCATTTTATCCGTTTGTTTTCTATTCACCATATTGTAGTTCTCAGTATATATCCATCTTACGGGACTTGTTAAGCACCTGCTTTCTTGCCCGTGATATGCCATTGTTCCATCTGCTTCTGCATGAATGCAGGCCATCGTTAGACCCTAAACCAGAAGTCTAGTGTTAACATTACCTAAATCATCATTCAACAATCTGTGTGACATATAGCTAGTTTGCAGCCTGTCATCTTACAAAATGGCAGGTAAAAGTTACCTGCATTACACATCAACAAAGAGGGCAAAACTGCGATACACTAATGTATTTTATTGGCGCTTCATTTTCATGCAAACACAACGGCTCTTCGAACAATGAACGACTATGAGAAGGAGAAAATAGCTCGATGTCAAGCCCAGAACTAATACCAACCATATTGCAGAGCTTGCAGGCTTATACCATACTTGCACAGAATTCGTTCGATCTCATCTCCCTAATAGACTTGGCACAACGTCGCCCTGCATCCACCCAAAATGCGCCGGTTATGGGTCAGCTCTCCTCATGGGCTTCACTATTTTGTATCAACAAAAAGCGCACAGATTCCAGCTCAGTTTCTTCCAGTGGCACTGTGTTACAACTCGACACACACTGAGCCACGACATTTAGTAGAACGTAGTGTTTGGGCCGTAGCGCATGAAAGTAGAACACTTTAGTTCCAGCAGTACACAGAAGATATTGTGTAGCCACAAAGACAACGCTTAGCATAAGTTCAGGCAGTCTAATCAATGGTTAGCTGGCGGTAACGGACACATACTGACTGGTGGATCCAACCAATAGGAACAGTTTAATCGGTGACTGGCTAGCGTTGGACTCACCCACTGCGCAGATGCCCCATTTCTCCTCCCTTTAGTTGGAACTACCCCAGCTGGCCTGATATCGATCAACTGGTCGGCGTACTCGGCCTGAGCGGCGACATTGCGGAGTCTCCAATTGAGTGGTATTCTGCACGTCTTTCAACTCAGTTACCGGGCTTGTCGATGTGTCGGCTGGCGGAACCCATACAGAACGAGGTGTAACATGGTCCTTGTGCCGCCTGGTAGAGCCAGTTTCATATTTTCTACCGCTACTTCGTGCAGATCTCCAGGCTTCCAGTTCGTTTCGTTAGGCAATTTACCATAAATCTGTTCGTTCTCACAGGGTTGTCGATAGACCACCCTCCGATCATACTCGGCCTTAGACTTATCTTGTTTGGCCTCGACGCGTAGCCTCTGATCGGGAAACAGCAAGTCTAACCATGTCCTTAACCTCCGCCCGGACATTAGTTCACCGGAACTTATACCAGTCGTTTCGTTCGGTGTGGAGCGATAACCAAAAAGGAATTTGTCTAACATTGTTCGCCATGGAACCGGCACATGTTTTTGAAGCCCGTTTTTGATCGTTTGGACCGCCGTTTCAGCTAATACATTAGAAGTAGGTGGTAAGGGGCCGACTTCAAATGACGTATGCCGTTATATTTTCGAAACTCATGGAATTCCTGACTAGTAAACACCGATCCATTGTCTGTGATCAACGGTATGCCGAAGGTTGTAAAACGCATTCTCATGCGTGAAGCCGTAGTCTGTGACGTGGCCCGTGTTACCTGGAAAACTTCGATCCATTTCGAGTAAGCGTCGATCAAGAGAATAAACACCTTCCCGTCGCGTGAACTGAAGAAGTCAGCATGTACGCGCTACCATGATTTACTGGGCCATTTCCAATGGAACAATGGTTTATTACGGGTAAACAAGCATTGCCTGACAAGTCCTGTGGGATGGAAATTATTGCGAAAATCAATTGCGTAATAAAGTGAAAAGTGTTGTGGTGGACTCCTTATAGACTAATGTGGAATAGTGATGTTCGCATATTAAACGTATAAATCCATGAATCCATTGGTTAGACGTTTGGCAAGACACCGTTTGATTGCGTTTTGTAGCCCCTGGCTAATAAGTCATAACATGAAATGTAAGTGAGACAATGCATCATCAATACGTTTTTTTAAATATCGCCAGATTGGGAGCAGAGACGACATAATTAGGGAGGGCGTTCCAAGGCTGGCACACGCGGAGAGAAAAGTAATTTCTACGGCATTCAAGCCGGCCATACTGAATTGTCAGTTCAGAGGGTGACCTCTTAGTATAGTGTTGTGGTTCAATTCCAGCAGCGGACGGCAAATGTGGTTTGGGTTCTTCAGAATCTGGTAAACCATTATGAGATCCCTCCGCAAAAGCCGATGTCG